CCCAACTTGAGAGAAACTCAATTTCAGTCTCACCTATGCTCAGATACTTCTTGTGCACCGCTTCGTAGGCGACCCAATCGATGTTCTTGAACTTTGTTCTCTCGGGTCTCAGCCCGACGTCCGGCGTGCCCTTGTTCGGATTCCTGTCGACGTTACACAGAATCGCATTGTCAGTTGGTCGCTCCGACGCGTTCCGTCCCGTAGGATTACTTACCCGGTGCGTGCGAAGTTCGTCAGGTAGAGTATCACGCTCTCTGACAAGGCTATCTCGGCTTTCGTGTAGTTCTTCGGCCAGTGGGACATGCCGCCTACCAACGGTGCTCCGAAAAAATACGGCAAGTCCTCGCCATGTATGCAGCCCGATCTCTGCAAACAAAATTCATCTGTCAAGCTTAAACTCATAGAATTTTATCCTGAAATAAAATGGCATGTCATTAATTTAAATAGAGATGAACGCTGGGTTGAAAAGGATATAGGAAAATGTCGGATGTAACGGGATTAATTTCGCGGAGGTGCTGGCAGGTGGGAAAATATTGAGAAGAATTGCAAAGCACTTTGTGTCCCCGTGAGAAATATTTCAGGGCTGCGAGACTTAATTTCGCCATTTACTAAATAAATATCCTTTGAGGAGAGGCAGTAATGTGAGACATGGGATCTGTCTTGAGATTTTTCCCATAGCGATCCTCCATAAAGGATATTAAACGATCGGCCATAATCGCGAGATATCCAATTTGCAAATAAACCGACAGTTGTTCCGATTTTTTTTCTTCCGAGGACGAATGAATACAGAGGAGAGTTTCGGCTCGGATCGAGGCTTCCCAGGCATGAGAGTTTCTCTCTCCCTTTGAGCTCGCCGAGGGTAATGGAGACCTTCTGCGTCTTTTGTGGCTCCTCCGTTTCCTCCCTAATATTTCCCTTATCGATTCCTTCTGCGAGTCTTCGTGCCTCTTTTGAAAATCATGTAGTTCGTTGCACTCCCCCGGAACGGCTGCTTCTGCTTATTTTCAACTTTGCGACGCGACGCGCGCTCTCGCACAAAGGGACTGTCAAAGAAGTTCGGCTACAAGGGACACGGATTTCGCCTATAGTAGATACGATGATCAGTCGTTCAACCGTCAATTACATACATAAATCTGGTCTTACGTATATAAAACACATACGGTTAAACTGGTTAAAGACAGAGACGTTAAATGTACACGTGTTGATTGCAGAGTTTAATATNATAATGAATAGTTAATTAGGTACACACGTACACTGTTTTGAATTACGCTGTACCTCAAGATTAAGAATCGTAATCAAGTAGCAAAAGGGTTCTCCGGTAAAAAGCACTTCCTCTCTCTCTCTCTCTCTCTCTCTCTCTCTCGTTTCCATTTCCATCGTTAAGCCACGGAGTAGTCAACGTGGGAGCATTTCACGCACGCGGACTTGAGAATTTTTCAACATGTTTTCCCTCAATTACGGGTGCCTTTAAGCCGCCTGTGTACACGCGCAATCGGCAAACGGAAGTTTAATCTAAATTCCACTCGCAGTCAGTCTTTGCACAGCCCCAGCGCGTTTGACGTCGGGACGTGTACACGGGCTCCTTTTTACGGATGCCGACGCACGAGTAACAGAAATATTTCGCAAGGCAAGCCGAATGCGTCTCCTTTCGTTCGATCGTTCATTATCCGCCTGAATAAAACCGAGCGTTCGAAACACTTCTTATCGAGCTGGCTGATTTTAATTAATGCGTTCGTGATCGTCGATCGATTCGTTGAATATTAATCCGTTCCATCGTAACTTTGTTCCATTCAATTTTTTTCCTCGCGTTCAGTGCATGAAAACCGTCTTCGCAATATACGTATATAATATAGTTCTAAATCGCGATCGGAATCCGATTCTCCACAATGATTCTTGCATTAAACGTTATTACATTTATGAACAATCTTTTTTCCCTAATTCCGCTTAACGATTTTCGCTTATCCCGAGTGAATTTCCTGTTCCATCTCCCGTTTCCGTTCCTCTCATACATCTGCATCTATTTACCAACTTCTTCCGCGCATACATCATGATTAACGGACAGAAGTAATTTTCCACCGTTTCCCATTTTCTCTTTCCGAAAGTTCCTTCGACGTTCTTCCAAATCTCTCTCTCTCTCTCTCTCTTAGTTCTTCGGAATTAATTTCATTACCGCGAGACGAGTTTCCTCGCAATTAACGTCGCCGATATATCGAGACCGTGTTTCCTTTTTCAATTGCATTTAAATAACGACCGCGGAGCGTGCCGTTGCTGCGGTAATTGTCCAGGAAATTATCAGGAACGTTATCGGCGCCGGCGGTGGTGATAACCGCGGNAATTTAAATAGAGATGAACGCTGGGTTGAAAAGGATATAGGAAAATGTCGGATGTAACGGGATTAATTTCGCGGAGGTGCTGGCAGGTGGGAAAATATTGAGAAGAATTGCAAAGCACTTTGTGTCCCCGTGAGAAATATTTCAGGGCTGCGAGACTTAATTTCGCCATTTACTAAATAAATATCCTTTGAGGAGAGGCAGTAATGTGAGACATGGGATCTGTCTTGAGATTTTTCCCATAGCGATCCTCCATAAAGGATATTAAACGATCGGCCATAATCGCGAGATATCCAATTTGCAAATAAACCGACAGTTGTTCCGATTTTTTTTCTTCCGAGGACGAATGAATACAGAGGAGAGTTTCGGCTCGGATCGAGGCTTCCCAGGCATGAGAGTTTCTCTCTCCCTTTGAGCTCGCCGAGGGTAATGGAGACCTTCTGCGTCTTTTGTGGCTCCTCCGTTTCCTCCCTAATATTTCCCTTATCGATTCCTTCTGCGAGTCTTCGTGCCTCTTTTGAAAATCATGTAGTTCGTTGCACTCCCCCGGAACGGCTGCTTCTGCTTATTTTCAACTTTGCGACGCGACGCGCGCTCTCGCACAAAGGGACTGTCAAAGAAGTTCGGCTACAAGGGACACGGATTTCGCCTATAGTAGATACGATGATCAGTCGTTCAACCGTCAATTACATACATAAATCTGGTCTTACGTATATAAAACACATACGGTTAAACTGGTTAAAGACAGAGACGTTAAATGTACACGTGTTGATTGCAGAGTTTAATATAATATTTATTGTTCGTATTTGGGATAAAAGAGAATTATATACGACCTTTCTTGTAAGTAATAGAAGTACTTACAACTTTTATTTAAAGCATTTGTCG